GGCTTAATTTATACTGTTAATATATTGCCAAAGCCAAAATTACGCAGAAATAGTTGATTGGTGCGTGAAAATTCTAATTATTTAAATTTAGATGTAGAACAGGGAAGGGGAGGGGGTCAGTGCTGTATTCATTCCAAAATCTGAAAGGCTTATGTGTAGGCAAGCGAAGTTTCTTCCCTCTCTCTATATCTCTTTTTCTTTCACATATCCGTCTTGCAAATTAGTTACATGTCCTTTCAATACATGGCTGGTATGAGGCTGTACTGACGATTCCCACTTCTACTCGCATGCATAGTTCGATCTGTGTTTACAGCTAAGGGATGAAACATACACACACAGAGACTGTATCGTAAAATATCACCTTACTACTACTGCATCTAAACGATGAAAGACAGTTTGCACCGTAAAATATCACCTCAAACATGAGACGCCTGAGTACAGTCCTTCTGATCTTTTATTTTCAGTGCCCGCATTCATACAGTTTTAATTATCTGTCGTTTCATCGTAATAAGTATTAACATCAATTTTGGATAATTTTTTTGAAAAGGATGGATTGCACGTCCAGGTTTCAAACTAACGTTAATTTTGGGCGAAAAAAAAGGGTTTCCCATGAGTTTGCTTTTTCGTGGCTTTTTTTTCCTGACAGTCCTGGCGGCCAGTCTGAAATTCTTTTAGCTAGAAGCATCTGCTGGAAAAACCAGTGCTGTTAGCGACAAAAATCTGCGAGGAGCTATGCAAAAAACGCATCTTTGCAAGGGCAACTCGTGCGTTGGCCAATTATTTTCATTTGTACTGCATTATCCGTCTTTGTTTACACCAGTTTTGGGTGACTTTTTTGAAAAGGAGGGATTGCGCACCCACTTTTGAACTAACATTAATTTTGGGCGAGAAAAAAGGATTTCCCGTGAGTTTGCTTTTTCGTGGAATTTTAAAACGCTTTGCATATTTTAGAACACTTTGAAAAATGGTTTGGCCGTTCAGCAGCAGCAGCAGCTCATCGGATTCGGCTTCACAGGCCACCACACCGCTGCAGCAGTCCACATCGATGACCGATATGACGGATGCAGCAATGCCTGGCATCGATTTCAGTAGTACTGGTGGTGCTGCTAGTACGATGGGCACGGATACAGCTAGCAAAATCGGCTTCGATAAATACCCAGTTTTTGCGCTGGATCAGCTGAAGCATGCTGGTGTACCGTTTGAGAAACAGCTTTCACCATATCTCCAGATGGACCCCTCAGTATTTCGTGAATCGACACCACAGTAAGCTGTCTTTTTTGTTTTTTTTTTAGGTTTTCTTCCATGATTTTCGGTCTGTGTAGTCCGTTTCAGTTTATGTTTTCGTATTCTCATCATAAGTGCTGCTACTGTTTTGAGCACATTAATACCGGCTGGTTTTGAGCACATTAATACCTGCTTGGATGGGGAGCACCTCCTCAAAATTCCAGATTTCTAGCTTTCCTGGTTACCACTTGGCAACTTGCCAGCGAAACCTTACCAGCAAAACCTGCCTGTATATGGGAATCGCGCACATCTGGGAGCTGATTTTGAAGTCGCTTGATTGTACATGGATGGAGATTGTCCCCTCAAAATTTCAGCCTCTTAGCTTCACTGGCTCTTAGTAACTCACCCGAAAAAAATTTTGGCCGTGGTCCCTTCGTAGTTTTCACGTATACGAAGGGGGCTGGTTTAGAGCACATTAATACCCGCTTGCATATTTAATAGTTTTGCGTTTAGTACAGTCCAGGCAGGTCTTATTCCTGCATCTTTTCGGAGACAGTTTTCCTGGCTTACTAATATATTCGCCCTTTGCCATTCTGGGCCAGGATATCATATTTGTCATCTCCTTCACCGGTGCCACCATTCCTGCCAAGTTGACTATCACGGATATCCTTACTGACGACTATTCGCAGCTATTTATGCGTTTTTGCCGTGCAGCGCTAGAGCGCTGCAACAGGCAGCAAAAACGCATATTGCAA